TGTTTCAGCCAGTCCCGTTGAGGCGGGAGCCCTGTTCCCACGGTCCGGCGGCTTGCAGATCGGGCACTTGCGCTGATATAGAACGTGGTTCATGGGACCCTTCCCCCGCAGGAACCCGACCCCAGCTTCTTCGCACCCGGCCCTGCCCGGGACTGAGATGTCCGGTGGCCTGCGCTCTGCAGGAAGTCAGGTGAGGTGCAGCCACATTCCTAACCCAATAGCGACAGCTAGCGGCAATTTTCACCCACTCACCAGCCTAATACTCAGAGAAAGTTGAGGGACTTTCTTTCCCATAACTCCCAGGTTCTAGCAGCAAATCGTTGTCTGGGGGTCTGATCCCAAAGACTGGGATGTCTTTGCCTTGACTCCGGTATTTGCTGGTCCCGGTACCATTAACACAGCCACATTCCTAACCCAATAGCGACAGCTAGCGGCAATTTTCACCCACTCACCAGCCTAATACTCAGAGAAAGTTGAGGGACTTTCTTTCCCATAACTCCCAGGTTCTAGCAGCAAATCGTTGTCTGGGGGTCTGATCCCAAAGACTGGGATGTCTTTGCCTTGACTCCGGTATTTGCTGGTCCCGGTACCATTAACACCTGTCCCGGACCTTCACCCATTCAAGGCAGCTGTTTCTTGCTCCCTGGAGCGAAACATGCACTCGGTATCCCCCCGCGCTGTGTTGCAGGGTCCCACGGGAAGACAACTGTCTGGAGCTGGCGGAAGGATTTCAGAGTGTGAGAAGGCGGGAGTAGCTCTTACAAGGAGCGGGACAGGCAAATAGAAGTGTCACTTTCCTGTTTAAATCTGTTCCTGTATCTGCCCAGGATGCACCCGCAGGGTCAAACCGGAAACATGCACTCGGTATCCCCCCGCGCTGTGTTGCAGGGTCCCACGGGAAGACAACTGTCTGGAGCTGGCGGAAGGATTTCAGAGTGTGAGAAGGCGGGAGTAGCTCTTACAAGGAGCGGGACAGGCAAATAGAAGTGTCACTTTCCTGTTTAAATCTGTTCCTGTATCTGCCCAGGATGCACCCGCAGGGTCAAACCGCAGCACCCTGGGTCTGGGGCAGTGAGTGGACCAGCTTCCTGTTGCTGTGGCCTCTCATACAAAAGGAGCAGTGCAGGGTGG